GGTCCGTACATGTATGTCTTTACTACAACTTACTCAAACACTACCAACAGTATTGCTACTGTCTACAACTATGTTCTTTGCTGTCTGCCTGCACCAAGCAGCGATGGCATCCGGAGCTGTTTCAGTGGTGGGCTTTGAGGAGGGACGAGGGGATCACCATCCTTGCTCACTTTATTCAGCTTCTTTCAGTCTATTCAGCTTTTCACTAAAGACGGGCCCGGATCCAAGATTCAAGATTCAAGATTCAAGACGCTAAGGACACTTTTTTTGGATTCAAGATTCAAGAAAACTATTCTACACCCTGTCAATGACCACCCACAAGGCAAACTTTTCGGTCTCGGCATGTGTTGTTGGCTCTTGCGGGTGTCCCAAGGTGTGTTTGGCGTTCTCTTGAGAGCCTCTAAAGATGCTGGGTGTTGGTTAGTGTGCTCTTCCCGGGAGGGGGGGAGGGGGTAGCAAAAAAACCAAACGATCTCGGATGGTGTTCTGCTTGTTTGCTGGGAAGCCCAGAAAACCAGGCTTTGTTGGCTGATTGTTGCCAACCCCCAAGAGCCAAAAAACCAGCAAAAAACCCAGGATGTTGGGACCTCCAAACGAAATACCGAAAACTAAGGCAGGCCGTGTTTTAACCGAGTCTTACTAAACTTGAAATGCGACACAGTTTCGAGAGATAGCTGTTTTCGGTAGAAACGGCGAGCAAACCTCTTTCTGACAGTGTAGCCTGTATATAGAAGTTGCCATTCGACTGACAAACAACAAAACAAAACCAAAACGACAATGAATTAAGCAGCTGTTCTTCATGTAGCTGCGCCTTTCTTTAACAGAATCTTATCAGAGCTGGCCACCCTCTAAAATTTGTTCCGGGCCGAGTTCTTAATCCCGGATTATTACAAAAACTGTCTTGTTGAAGAGTCAGTCCATTGGCGAATTCACACAGAGCTGGCCACTCACTCAAGAATGTTCCGCACCAGTCAACTTCCGATGAGCAGTGAAATGGAAACTACCACCCTTGCAAGAAGCACCTTCTAGGACTTTCTGAATTGGTTGAAAGGATCTGACAAGGAACTTGTCGCGTCTCAGAAATTATCTTCCAGACATGTTTCCGAATGCAGTTGGGAAGAGCTTTTGTTCTTAGAATCCACTGCAGTCAAAAGATGTTGGTCTGAAGGCTCGGCGGCCCCTCCAGGGGTCAAAAAGAATGCCGTAAAACCTACGCTCATGACTGGCTTATGATGCAAAAAATTCAGCTTAGAGTATTGGAAAGTGAGACATGGGATGAGTTCCTGGTGTTGCGGCACGGTGCATTCAAACGTATACAGGTAAAGAGATCCACAGATTGATCTAGCAAGGGAGGGGCAACGCCTCCAAAGCCGGCTGCGGTAGGTTGTGATCATTCTGGGGGCCGGGGACTGTGCACTTTCTGGAGACAAGATGCTGAGAGTATGCTCTGGAAGGTCATGTTCTGCGGCAAACCTGCATGAGGGCACAAGGCCATATCCCCTTCACGACTATGACCCAGTATACCCCAGTAACAATAGCAACGCTTGCTGGTAGCAGGTCTGAAAGGGAGCATCAGCCTTCGTGCCGCCGTCAGGGCATTCTCCACGGTGGGCTTCCAGGAGATGGGCACGGCCTTGCCTCTGACCTGGAAATCTCGATTTGCAGTGCGGGCAAGCACCGAATCTATCCAAATTCCTTCGCGGTCTCGCGGAGAAAAAACCAAGAAATCTAGAGAAGGTCAAAACACACGCAGCCAGAATGCCGTAAGCGACACATGTTGTGGCCTCGAAAGCGAGGCTCACGACATCATCGGCTTCAGCCTTAAAGGCAGGCAGCAGCGCCAGCGCGGCGCAGGGCCATTTCATGGCTTCAGGGAAACTTTGGGGCGCCCCTTACAGGACGATGCGCAAGGCAGATTCCAGGACTTGGGGGGGATTTGGGTTGGTCTTCCTAGGAAGGGCGTGACACGAGTGGGAGTCTGGCAACTCCGTTTCACAGCAACGCTGTTGCAAGGCGTTGCTAGATGAATTGTAGATGAAATGTGGTCCCCAGTCTGTGCTGGCGTCGGTCATCCCTGCACGTGGGCACACATGCTCCAGCTGGCAACGGCAAACCCCCCATGGCTGTCATATTCAGCGGGAGAGAGAGGCGCAAACTGCACAAGGAGTGTTGCCAGAGCATGGATGGACACTCGTCCTGTCGTCATCAGTCACAGAGTGCTGCACTTTTGGCTTTGCGCAGATGCCCGCACATGACATCCACCGCTCCCGGCACGGACCCAGCTTGTCTACCAGAATGACCTCAAAAAGCTGAGCCACAACACTAAGTGACATACTGTGACATACTATAAGCACAAAACACGGTTGCTGGGTATAGCGTAGGGAGCTCAGATGAATTAACCCCTAACCGGTGGCTAACGAGCTACAAGGAAGCGGCCCCTTTCTCAGATACATCTGGATGCGCAAAAGACACCAAGGCATCTACGAAGATCTCAGCAGCCCCCTTCCAGTCACCCTCTGCGCTGCAGCGGGAACTGACTGAATTAGTGCATGCTTAACAGTCACAGGCTGTACATGCTGCTTGCCAGCATGCTGCACCACCGCTTTGGTACGCGGTGCATCTTTTCAAAGATCTGCTAACTCAGGCAACATGAAAGCGACATCTGTCTACTCTAGCGTCGCAGCTTTCGGATTGGCGGCTCTAGCTTTTTCACCCTTAGAACGTAGCGGGGTGGACTTTTCTCGATGCTCCTCCCCTCGCAGCGACGCCAAGTGAGACCGATTGTGGGACTAGGGGTCACACTTTGACTCGAGCTTGACATCCCAGTCCCAACACACGGACACATGGCCCTCACTGCCATCGCAACTGCAAGCAAGGAATTGCGCTCTGACTTTGGGCTTCAGGGGTTCAGGACATTCAGGAGGTATGGCCTTGCGTGGAGGAGCGAAAGGTTCCGGTTTTCTGATATGAAGTCCCACCGGCCTGCAGGCGATCTTCACCACCTTCTTATTCCCCATGGACATCATCACGCCAGCTTGCACGAAGACACCTCCGCGGAAGCCAGGATGTGCTCGAAACTCAAGGCATGCGGAAAGCTTCACTGCCTTGTCCGCCGCGCCGTACTCTTTGCTGCAGCGTCTCCTCCCAGGAGAACATTGTTGTCATGAAAAGAGTACCTGAGTGCGCCTGTGAGCCCCCCTGCTTCTGAAGTTGAAAACAACTACCTTGCTTCACAGTCCAGATGAGGGGAGATGGAAGAGCAGAACGAGCCTCCAGCACGAAGCGAAGAATGTGGAGTGGGATGTTCTCTGTTTCCGATGCCTTTCCGACTGGGGCACTGAGCTGCAAGTTCACAAGTAGACATCTTGACATGTGAGCATCATGCAAGGTGCTGCTTAGGCGGCTTTGGGGAAAGCGAGCTGACAAATGAGACAAAGCCTCCAACCATCCCCAAACCCCAAGGATAAGCATGCCTGCAAAGTCCTGACATTCTTCGACAACTCATCATGCTACAGGAACCCTGTGATGGAAAGCCCGGGCCATGAAATCATGGGGACCATCGGATGCAGGTTCAGACATAAGCTTTGGCCCCCTCCTCGAGCCGGCTATGGAGCCGTGCCAAGTCCTCCCTCTTCTGCACATACCTGCAGAGGTTGCCCCATTGAGGGTGCGCGAACAGGTGCAGATGCTCGGAGATGTTCCGCTGTTCCAAGCTTGAAGCTAAGCCTCGGAGATTGTGTGCACGCAGATATGCCCATGCGTCCCCTGCTGCCTGCACAAACCGCAGCCTGGGAACGGAAACTGCAAAAAAGGAGCAATCCACGACAGGTTGCAATGTTGAAAGCAACTTTGCGCTGGTGAGACCGTACACTGCATCGAACAGAAACTCTGCTCGAAGCCAACATGACCCAAGTTGCAGCGGAGCAAGTCCGCATCTTACTCCGACGGCATCTCCTGCCTCATCGCAGAAAGCTCAGCAAGGGCCCGGATGGCCAGCGGGTCAGGCGAGGAGGACACAGAGATTTTTGTCAAGGTCTCAGCATAACTCTCCCAGAGTACCGACAGCCTCTGCAAGGCGTGGGCGTCTTCGGCCTCCTCGGCCTGCTCGACTTCCCTGGCCTTTACAGAACTTACCAAGTCGGCAACTCCCTGCAGGGCGCGGCGGCGCACGGCCGGATCTTCTTCCCCAGCCAGAACCTTCTTGATCGCGTCTGAGCGTAAATCCTCGTTGTCGTTGGGAATCAAAGAGAAATATGCACCCACACAAGCCAGGCGCACTTGTGGGTTTGGATCAGCGATGTCCTTGAGCAAGGTCTCCCCCAGAAGCACGCACTTCTCATCACCATGGAGTGAGCGCGCTGCTTCCCAAGCCCGATAAGCTTTCAGCTTGAGGCTGGGATTGCTCAGGGCTACGGTCATTGGCATGAAGGCGCTGTTCAAAACATCGTGCAGCTGCTCGGTGTCATAGGCCAAGATGAAGTCCAGCAGCTCCTGAAACCGACAGCATTATGCAACCTCCCGCACTTAACCCGGCCCCCTCAAGCTGCAGACTGTCAATGCAAGTTACCAACCCACACCCTCTGAGACATCTCAAGCCCACATTGGAATCTTCCAAAGCCTCTGAAGCCACAGGGCCTCCAGCAAACCGTTATCCGCGGGTTGGCGCCCGGCAGCCGCCACCAGGCGCTGAAGCTCCTGGCGCTTCGTGCCCACAAAGGCAAAAGTGCCTGGGATCCATCCGGTGCTTGAGTACAGGGGTTTTGAAGCCGCTTGCGGTGGGCCTCTTTGCGGACGTGATCTTTGCATGCTTTTGGCGGGCGTTCTGGCTAGAGGGGGTGACTGGAACGAGAGGGTCCAAACACAAGGTATGAAGGGTTCGAGCCTCACTGTTCTTGTGCCTGTACGACCCTTCTGCTTAGCGCCGTAGTGGTTGCAGTTGTGAGCTTTGGCCGCACAGCATGCATTGAACTTCCCTTCTGCAGAAGCAGAGTCTCGTGCTGCGCCAGGATCTTTAACGGGGCATCCCACATGTCTCAAGGAAAAACTGCCTCTTGCAGTTTTTGCAACCTTCCAAGATTCAAACCTATGCACGGCGGAAGTCTTCGCAAGCTCAGGCCCAGCCACGTTCCACCAAGGAAGGACGCTCCATGAAGTCACACAAGGCCTTGGCTATCCGAGGCGAGGTGTGTTGCAAAGAGAAAGGCTTCAAAGGTGCACCAACTGATCCATCTTCACGCACGTCTTGTCACCTCCACACACACACACACATGCCTTATCACCCCTCTCTGGTTCATGGTCTCCAGCAGGCATGTTGTCAGCAACGGTTTACTGAGTTGCCATTTAGACAGCCACCTGGCTACCCTCGTATGTCACAACAGCAGTTGTAGTGCAGCTATGCAGGGTCGAGAGCCTCACTCGCCACGCGCGCGCCGCGTGCCAAAGCCCGTTCGGCCAGCACGAAAGGCCACCTGAAACCAAGCGCTTGACTCAAGCGGTTACGTGGTGAGGGCCAATATGGCCAGGGTTCCAGGCTGCGCAGGATCCTCATAAGGCTCAAGGCTCCGGTTTCGATGACAGCGGAGGCCTGACTTCCAGGTCGGCGCCGGCCAGTGTCTGCTGGAACGGAGCCTCGGGCTCGGCCTCATACCTCAGAGTCGCTGGGTGATAAGTCGGCTGATCTGAATCAGATGCATCTCGTTGTGCAGGCGTGCAGGCTGGCAGCACTATAGTACGGCTGTTGAATTCTAACACTCAGCTGCTCAATTTACATCGAACCCCACTCTTGTGTCCGCAGTATAGGTCTTGCGGTGCAGGATGTGTTTTTTGGATGCGAGGGCGACCCCATGAAGTAGGCCAATTGCATCATCACGGCAGGCCTGAAATCCTTCCTCAATCCAGCCGTAAGAAGGAATTCAGCCCGGACTCAGAACTGACATCTTCACGACCTGCTTGGTGCCGGAAACTACCGCGCGGGCCTGGTGGAGAAGCCGATGGTCGAAGACCTGCAGGCACTCGGGATAGGCTTTAGGATCGCATGTGTTAGGACATCGGTAGTTCTCTAAATTAGGTCCCATTTTGGGTCCCCCATAGAATGTGGTATAACCAGGACCCCCAAAGGGACCCTAATGCAGAGAACTGCCCATACGTAAGGATATGTTAGGAGGTCACTACTAGGAGCCTCTGATTGATTTCTAGGGCTTGGGGAAGATGTGGGCTTCATGTCCGGGCGATGCCTTGCGAAACGAGTGTTCAAAAGCACGATGACCCCTGGGAGTCGGTCAGAGCTTCAATTCACAACCCGGAGGATCTTCCAAATCAAAGCCCAGCGACGACAACGGTCCCTTCTTTGGGGTCCACATCTGCACCGTCTGCGCCATCCAGAAAGCGCAAGCTCCCGCCAGCAAAGCCAGAATTGACCTCAAAGGGGGGGTAGGGGGGGTGGGGGGGGGGGGGGAAACATGCGGGGTTCACACAAGATTCACGGGATTCTCGGTTTGGGGAGTTTGGGGTGATTTCTTCTGAGCTCCGAGAAAGTGGATGAGCCTCTCTCACACACCCAACAAATGTCCTCATTCGGATGGAAGAACTCTGTTCCGGACTGATTCAAGGCAGTTAAGGCGTTGCGTTTGTTGAGCGTGAGCTTCTTTTGTCAAGTGGCGTACACCAGTGCGGTCAGGCGCGAGTACCTCAAGCGGTTTCTTACACGACCAGACCTTAGCCTTAGCCCATTCTTCAACCAGCACAGATACATGAAAGCGCTAATGGCAGCTTCTCCACAGGCCGGGGCACGAGTCCGGAGCTGCTAAAGGAGTGTCGGCATGCACTGGATGGTCACCTCCACGTCAAGTGCAGTGATCAAGCAAGCCCCTCACCGTTGCACAGATGCCACAAATGACCCACGCCCCACACTCTGTCGTGGACAGTCCTCTTGAGAGATGGTTTGGGCAGACGTCGAGAATGATTCGTCCATCTCGCGGCCCACCAGCCTTCACCAGTCCCTCCATGGTACCTAAGTTATTTTCGATACCTCGCTCTATATCCAGCCTACAAAGCTCTGTCCACGCCCAGCTCACAGCACAGCGCTAATTGCCTCCAACCTGCTCAAAGAAACTAAACTGTCGGCAAAGCACTGCAGCAGCCGCAGCTGGGGATGTGGCCCGGCGAGGCTACAGCCTTGCAGGCTCTGCGGTTCCACCAACAGTCGGGGGGGGGGGGGGGGGCACATCTATGTGCTCGGCCTTCAAAGGTGTCCGGCACAAGTGGCCGCACCACTTTCCAGATGTCCAGGGAAGCCTGGCAAGATCCAAGTCCGTGTGTTGACCAATCTGCTTCCGAAGCTGCCGTCATTCGGAAACTCAACTTCTCAGCTTTTGCTTCATTGCGGCTGCCTCGGGGTTTACAACATCCCGCCACGGCACGTCTACCTGCAAACAGGATGTACTGAACAGGCTACACAGAATCCAACTTGGCACCGCTGCAGAAGCTGAGTGGAAAAGAGAACGACTCCCTGCTAACAGGGAGCGAACTGCTGACAATCACGACCAAATAGCCAGCTAAGGCCACAAACAGCCTCAAACATCCTCAAACCGAACCGCTGAACCCGAAAGGCCCCCCACGTGCAGACTCCGTAGGGGCCACAAGCGCCTCTGATACGAGTGCAGCCAGTCGCAAACAGAGGCTGCTCGGTGCCGCACTCGCACGGCCTGGGACATGGTCACACAAGTGCCCTGCAATCACTTTTTGGACAATTTCAAGCTGCAGCAGCGGAAACATCTTCGTAGTCGTAGTCGCCACTGAGCCACACACACACACATCTTAGACAGCTTTGTGGAAGTAGCCGCATTTCATGACCAAAACGCGGCACCAATAGCGACAACAATACAACAAACAAGAGTTGTTGGAATTGTCTTGGTGCGGTAGGCTGACAGGGCTACTTGAGCACTGGGTAGCAGCAACGTCGGAACACAATGTTGCTCTGAAAGTGGTGACTGCTGGATGAGGTACGGCGCATCCTCGTGCTTTGTGTGAGGAGCAGGGTCTGGAGGTTCGCATCACTGCGAGAACAAACCCCGAAAGGCCACTCGACTTCAAGCCACTACTGCAAAGATTGTTCATGCACTTTCATCGACGCTGGTGACTATAACTATGACGAAAGTCCGGGTATCATGCCATGACAAGGTATGGAACCCTTCATAGAATGAACCAAACAATGCCTGTGATACAATGTACTAAGCTCAGCGCACAGCCAGCGCTGCTCCGATAACAGCGCGTCAGCGCGCAGCGGCGCCGAAACCATGAGAAGGGAAAAGAAAGAAAGTAAAAGAACTCTGCCCGTTTTTGAGGGCAAATCTTGTGGCATGCGATCCCTTGGTTGCGGCTATGAGGTTAGGAGGGCTGAGGGATGTACTACATTGCCAGTCGTACGGAGCTCAGCTTCCATCCCTTGCCATCTGCTTTTAACCAAGGCCCTCTGGCCGAGCTCTGAATGAGGCTTGATTTAAACTGGCAAGGGCAGTGCACCACACGCACCACTCCCGAATTTACGGCGCACGGGCTTGCTCGCTTCTTGAAGCAGGGGGCTGATAGTTTCCGAAACGTTGTTCAACAGTTACTTCTCCAAACTCAATAAAGATGCTGCTTACTACCGCGTACACAATGTCAGAGAATGTGGGAGGAGTGTGTATCTGGCCCCGCCTCTCAAGGCCTCCAGCCACCTGCCAAAAGCATCCAAGAGCTCACCCTTCTAAACCCCAACCATACCGGTAACCATACCCGCAAGCATCTTCACAGCTTCTGTTAGCGTATGTTAGCATCATGCTCTGGATCAGCGCTAGTTGGGCAATGCCGAGCCTGCAGCTCAAGCCCTACACGCGCGAGGCATTCGCCAATGAAACGGCGCTCACCATCGGCCTTTCCGTGAAGCTTTTCCATGCTTTGAAGGCTTTGCCATGCGTTGCCCTTGTTTGTGTGGCTTTGTGGTCGGGTCGGCTGAAGTGGCTGAAGCACAAAGCCCCGCGCTTGCAACTGGAGCAGGCAGCACCCGACACACGACACTGAATGATGCTCGGGCTAGCATAGAAGATGCCAGGCCCATCCTCTCCATGCCGAACCTAACCTTTGCCCCAAAAAGCACCAAAGGCCCTAAGGCCCTAAGTAGAGACTGCAGCCTCGACTGGATGTCTGTCAGGCAGGAACTCCCAGGCGAAGCCAACCGGATCGTCGACCACCTCTGCCAACCTCAACAAGGAAATGCCAGGAAACGCACGGCGACCCACAAACACAGCTTCAGCCGCCTGCGCCATCTAAGGAATCTAAGATATCTAAGGTTCTGCCGAGGCACACCTCGCGGAGGTCAGGTGCATGCTGCGGACGCGGCGGCAGCGGTCTCACGCTCCGGACCTCCTCCTCCCGGGAGCAGATCGGGGATTCGCACTTGGCCTCGGAGGCCTGTGTGGAGGTCTGAGAAAGCTGGGTGCGGAAGTCGCCCAGAAGGTCTGGGGAGTCGCTGTGCTCTCCAGTGGCTCCAGCGGCCGCCTCCATCTCATCTTCTAGCCTGGACTTTTTGCTGTCGTCTTTGGCTTCCTTGGCTTCCTTGCCTTCCTTGGCTTCTTTGGCTTCGGCCTTCAAGTCTGTGGCCTTGGTGTATGGGAGGCTTTCCTTGGGGGCCTCGGCCACCTTCGTGGCTTCTTTGGCTTCAGTCACTTCGAGCTTGGCCTCCTTTGCCTCGGGCTTTGAGGCCTCCGGTGCTCTGCGGACGATCGTCTGGGGGACTCCGCGCAGCACTGGTGACGCTTTGGGACTCCGGTCCGCAGGAATAATCACCCGGGCGCGGCGTACAGGAGACAAAGCTGTGATCGCGCTGATGGAATGCACTGAATGCACCATTGGAACCTGCACGGCGCGTGCAGGTGTTGGCAGGCGCAAGGTGTCGGTATGAGGTGCAATGTCCTGGGCGGGCAGTCAATCGGCCTCTCCCCTCTCTCGAAAGATTACGAAACCATACGAAGCCTTATATGCAGTTGAAAGCTAGCAACTAGATGAGAGGCGGGGTTTCGGCAAGAGCCTAGGCAAACGCACCATGACCCGACGAGGAGCCATGCGACGGGGCGACGGTGACGTTCGCACGCGGACCACGCGGGGTGCCGCAACCGGCGAGGATGCGCCAATGGCAGTGACGGCGGCGCCTTGGCGGGTCCAGGTCGACACTTAACGGACAATACAGTTTTTGAACCGGAGATGAAAGGATGTGGGTGAACGTGGTGAACTCCTTGCATTTATGGCACCCGCACTCCGTGGCACGAGCGGCACTGCTGGGCGCCGGGGCGCGGTAGGGGGCCGCAGGGCTGGCAGAGCACGATGAGCACGAGAGGCAGGGTGATCGCTCTCGCTACCGAAGATTTGCTTTTTGTTTTTACTCCGCAAACATGACATTTGTATTCTCCACAACACCTCCAAAACCTTCAACGTGCTGGAACCTTTCCATCTTCCCATGTGCACCATGCAACGGCCTTGGTATCCTGCTGCAGCTACCTGTATCGGCACTGACACCATTGCCTGCAGGCTGGTGCACAGACGACCCTACCAGGAGGACTCTGCAAAGAGGCTTGCGGTATGAACAGAAAATAAAGGTGCAGCTCTGCAAACTTTAGCACTTGTGCCTGCCGTGGCATGCTGGTGGCGCTGAGGACATCCGGAACAACCTTCCTCGCAGGCAAAGGCGGAGATTTAAGTCAGAGACTTTTTTGCGCATCGGCGGCAACGTTCCTTTATTCGCAGCCAGACCCGTGCTTCGTACTTCACATGTTTTTGACCCTGCCTCATCATTGGTGAGGTAGCTGTTGGCGCCTGGGCGTAAGCAAGTGAAAGCAGCGCGTGTAGTCGTGTCAACCCTTACATGACAGAATGACGCGCTTGACTCGCGCAGCAGGTTCAGTGCTTTGTCGATCGACTCGGCCCAGCGCTTCAACTCGGAATGAGGGCGCTGTCATGTAGCCTGAACAGAACTTCTGGGAAGTTCATGAAAACTAACGGAATAAAGTCAGCGATCCGACTCAAATGATCAAGATTCAAGATGATCAAGTTGAGGGTCGTAGGTCTTGTGGCTCTCCGGTTTCGGGGCCTGCGGATAAGCTGGCTCCCTGTTCAGGATTTTGTCAGTGCCGAAGCCATCCGCAAAGGATCACAGAACAGCAGAACGGGGCCGACGCGCCTTGCGTCCGCATGGCCTCGCGCCTTGCGCGAGGATAAAGCTCCCACTCCGCACGAATCTACCCGAAAAACCGCCCTCTCGCAGCATTCGCAGGCCCTAAGCTTCACGACCACAAAGGAACCTCAGTGGCAGCACGACGGCTCCAACGGCTCCAACGGCTCCATGGCCACCAGGCCGAGGAGCCCCCGCAGGCACGGGCATGGGGCCTGCGACTTCACGACTTTGTCAACTTGGGCTCTAGATGTGAGCCCCATTTAGGGGTTTCAGAGGTTGTCATCACACTAGCTGCTAGCTGCTAGCTGCGCCAAGTTCCTCCAGATTTTGTCAGTCATGAGCCTGTTCAAAGGAACCGGTGCTAAAGAGCAGGAACAAGTGGGACTTGCATTTGGTGACGGGACAGAAAAAAGAAGCACCAGAAAACAGATGCGCTACCCGCACGTCAGAGCAACTCTATCCAACGCTCAAGCGTCATGAAGCTGAAGCCTAATTTCCAGGCCTCCAAGCCTGCAGAAGAATTAGGCACCCAGAATCACATAGAAGCCTAAACATCCGAAACCTTCAGGCCAATGCTCAAGACCTTCACTCTCTCACAGCTCCTGCTCAGACCTGAACCGAGCACAGAGTTGAGCTCGGCAAACCGACGAGCGCTGAGCCAACAGCTGCCCAACATGCACACCTCTCCATGTCGAAATTGAATATGTAGACTTAGACACATGTCGCAAACCGGCCATCTTCCTATCTGTCCTTTCCTCAAAACTGCTCACTGACATATTATCTAGTGAATTCTCACACCATGACATGTGCTTGCGTTGCATGTGTGCAGCTTTGTTTATCGTGCGTTCCCCATGTTCTTACAACGTTCTCGCGCACAGTGAACAGAGCAAACTCCCATGCTAACTCCCTCCCAGAATCCCCCCACACGTCCTCTACGCTCAAGGGTGCCACTTGAAACAGAAATTAGGCGGCTTATGTCTTTTTGTCATTCTATTTTCAATGCCGTTTTCGAAATTGCGGTCCCTGGTCTAAACACACAATGGCGGGACTGCAATTTAGAAAGCCACCGAGACGCATCCGAAAGCGGTTCCCGAGTCGCAGCACACGAAGACTCTGGGACTTTTGCGGGGGGAGTATGCCTATACGGCCCAATGAAGGTCGTTTCGGGAACCGCTGTGGGAATTTGGATGCCTGAGGATCTGCGGAAGGTTCGGACAGCGATCCACCGGTGTCAGATCTTTCTCTAGGAGGCCTGATGCTCGAATTTGCAAGTCGCCGTGAGTGGAGTTCATGACAGACCTGACTTAATCATATGTCACACCAACTGCAACCTCCACTAAGGAACTGAAGGGACGCTCACTCCACACCTTCCACGATCGCCAATTTCACCATATGCCTATCGAAGAACAATATCAACTCCGTCCATCTCTGTGTCGTAATTCCTGCCCAGGGATGGTCACAAGTCGAAAGTCTGCAACTGGCGAAAACTTGCCAACACATCAAGCCCGCAAAGCCATCCAAGACTCAAATCCTGGTCAACGGCCCACCTTTCCACCTTTACCATAGGGCGTTCCAGGGCTGTCTTTCATGTTTAGCCCCCGGCTCCTCTGAAACTTGCAGGCGTCGACAACGTCTTGCCATGCGAGGATTCGAACTCGCACCGGTACGTCTGCGCGGCCTCAGCCAACAACTGAAAGAAAGGTGAGCAACGACAGCTACATGAGAATGACACGGTCTAATGCAAGGACGTTGAAACAGCCAGAGAGAGATCTTCCTACAAGGAGCACGGCTGGTGATTAGTGCTGCCATGCCCACCGATGCGTCTCTGATACTCCTGGAGGCAGTATAGCCGCCGGTTGTCCTGCAGCAGCAGTCTGGGGTCGGTGTTACAAAAAAAGCCATGCATTTCACATGCCCATGCCATGGTTCAAGAACAACATACGTCGGACAACGGCAGATTATGGGTACAACAACGGGTCCAGAACATGTACACAACATTCCAAGACCCCTCTACATGTTCTCAGACTGCCCACGTTGTCACAATGGTCTTCAATCCTGCCTTGCCCTGCCTTGCCCTGCCCGGACTTCCCATCTTTACAAGATGTTGCTGGGCGGGTCGGCAGAGGGCGCCTTTGAGTACAGGGCAGGGTTGCCCTTGGAGTCGGATTTTTCCACCACGGTCAGCTTCAAGAACCTCGGTCTGTCATATGTTTGACGCATGCTGAGATATCTTAACAGATGTTCCCTTACAAGGAAGAGAACAAGGGGCTGGACACCAGGACCAACCCAACAAAGAGTCGCGACTCTCCACCACACCTACTTCTCAGGGCTGAGCGAGAACAAAAATGCAAATGGAAAGAAGACCTCATCCTCGCCTACGAACCAACTTGTATATTGAAAGAAATTGCTGAGATTGTTGACATATGCTGACATATGTTGATACATGCTGACATATGCTGGCATATGCTGACATATGCTGACGTGCCTTCAAAATTGACACCCCTACCGCTAATATCCGCCAGTACACGATTGCGCGCCTGCAGATCACAGATTTTCACTGGGGCGTTCGGAAGACCCGGAAACCATCAACGAAACCAAAAGACCCAAGCATTTTTCACCAAGTGGCTCGTCTGTCATGGAGTTGTAGGTCCCCCTCATGAGGCCCAGGATCAGCTCCTGCAAAGGCGGGCCATCTGGGCCCAACTCGTTACAAGCACATCATGTGCACGGCTGAAAGTACACACGGTAGTTACTGCCGGCTCGTGTAAAACATCTGCACATCCTCACGGCATACCCTGGCAGTCGCATGAAGCATCCGCTGCTCAAGCTTGCTGGCCTTGCTAACTTTTGTCCCTTGCTCGCAGGGTTGCTGCTCACAAAAAAATGCACCCTTCAGCTAGACTGCCCAACTCTCCCACCTCCAGGCTGCGTCCGTCCTCAAAGCACACCACAATATGCGTTAGGCTTCCTATGGTTTCAACTGTATCCCAGCTAGCAGCACGCAGATGCTCGGGCATCACTCGCAACTCTCTCCAACTTGCTTCGGCTTTGTCAGATTTTTCCAGCTCGTCTTCCGACATCTGCTCCTGGAACCGCCGCTTCATCGACCTCTGCGAGAAGCGGATGTCACTGGCATCGACAACGCGCTCGGCCGCCTTGGATCACGGGAAGTATTGGCAGTTTGAGCTCCATTAAGAATGCTTCGTCTGAGCAGCAGAGTCCTTCGGTGGGGCTTGCGCAGCACGGTGCTAATCAGACTCTAGCACAAGCATGCACGATTATGAGACTATCAAGACCGGCTGGGTCTGCGGGTTTGATGAACGCAGTTCGGCACTTAGGCCCAGGCCAAAGAGGCAGGTAAAGCGTCGCTCCAGTTCCCTTTGTTGGAGTAGTAGCCTCAATTTGGACTTACATCGCGTTGGATAAGCCTACACCCCTGGACAGCGGCCACGTTCTAAACCTAACCCCGCACACATCCAGGTGCCATGCACCAACTCAATGCACTGAAGCACAAGAGCAAGCACACAGCAAGCACGGCAAGTTGAAATCTGCCGGGCGACCGCTACTTCCGACCGAGGGCCCACCTGAGACAACGCAGAGTCGTGTAACTGACCTAAATCATCGACTACCAGAGTACACCAAGGCCCATTGTGAGGAATCTGACGTCTTGAAGCAGCTTCTTGAGCCGAGTCATGCTGCGTTCCTGTTTCCCCGAGTTTCTCCCGTCTTGGGACCATGAGGAACCTGCCCTCACCCATTGGACACTCCAGAACAGTATCAAACAAAATCTCGTTCTTGGCTGCTTGTGCTCCAGCTGATGCAATCCAGCACAGGACTGGCCAAGGCGCTGCAGAACAAACGGACAGCGACGCAACCAATGCGAAATGCTATCTCCCGTCCAAGCTGTCTTGGCACGTAATGTCTGCCTTCGACGACGACATCGACATCGTCCCTGGATCTACACATTCCGTACCTTCCCCCCACCAAAACAAAACTTCGGAAACCCTTTGGGGGGAGAGCCTGGCGACAGCTCCAGGTCCGCCAGGTCTGCTCCTGCGCCACCGACGCGGACGTCGATGGTCAGAGGCGCGTTGGAACCTCAGAGCTGAACTCCCCCTTTTCAACCTCTCAATTTTGTGAAACTTTCTGAAAAAGATTCTCTCAAGCTCCCTCCAAAAAAACCTTCTCTCCTTGGAGAAGACATGCCCATGGACCTTTTTGGAACCGCTTCTTGGAAGTCACTTCGGGCGAAAAGAAAGGTTCAGAGATGCTGGAGCATGTCAAGGCAAAGCCAGCTTCGGCTGCGCCGCCTAAAAACCCTGAAAGCTCGGACAATCTGTTCTGCAGTTGCCCCATTTTCCTTGCCACCGAGGCTGGCGCCTTTGAAAGCTTTCGCAGCCTTCCGCTGAAATTCCTGGCTGTGGGGAATGCATGTGAACCCTGCAGCGATGGTGCTAGGATTGGCTGTAGGGTGTGAACGTTCCGGGCCCAGCCTTGCTCTCAAGCTGCCGCAAGCTATGGCTTGCGTTACACAAAGGCCGACTCTTGAACCGCTGAAGGGGCATCCTGAGAAGGAACGAGGATAACTAGGCCAACAAGCCTGAAACCCCACGAAGATTGCAGCGTCCCCCGCCGGGCCTTCAGGGCTTCTATCGCCTCTAGGAACTCCTTCTTCTGGTGACCCTCCTTTCGCGTGGATCGCAGAGATTTGGGGGAGGTCTGGGTGAAAGTTTGGGGGCACTGTGTGGATATTGTGTATTGCGCAACTTCAGAAAAACTGGAGTTCGACAGTAGTAGTGGACCCCATCCGCACGGAACACACAATTCCTAAGCGCTGGCAAAGGAGTTCGCCTTGCAAGCCTTGCAGTGCAGGCCTTGCAACTCAAGTTTAAGGCGGCTCTGGCACCTGCTGCAGCAGATCCGCCACAGCTACAGCGCCTTCATCGATATCAATGGAAATGGTTCCCTCGCCTGCCAAACAGAGCTGCACTTGCTGTTTTGTCTTCGGTGTTGCCCGGCGTGTTGCCCCATGTCCCCGCCAGCTGACACACCATTCCTGACGCTTTGCATCTGCCCAACCGTGCGCCTGAGGGTGCTTCGCAAAGGGCCAGCGCATCCGTCATGGGCGCCGCCATGTTTAGGCGCCTTGGGGTATACAAATGTATATAGATGAAACTTGATGAAACCATATAATTCAAAATCTCCGAAGGAAAGAACAAAAAAAGACTTGCGCTACAACTTGTATGTGCAGCATGTAGGCTTTACTCCTGTAGGCAACAGCAAACATGAACAAAATGTGAGAAGAAGACAGCAAAAGCAACTTTGATCTCAAGGCGTCAGTCACGTGTTACAAAATGCAACAACACAAGCCTCCCAAAGCCCACAACAATCCACAAAAGTCCGTCAAAGTCCAAACAGATCCCCAACCCCGCCACTTCACACAAGCGTCTCCGACTCCAGAGTCTCCACAGGCGGTGGTGGCGGCTGCAATGGCGGCGCAGGCAACGCCAGCGGCAGGTGCGAGGGCGGAAGCGCCAGCTGCGAATTCCTTGGTTGCAGGATCTAGGAATCTAGGGCTTACAGTGGCTTTCAGTGGGCTTGCCGATCTGGGATGGCTTGGGAGGGTTTGAGAGGGTTTGGGATGTATGGCTTGCAGGTTCCGGGGAGAGGGGGGAGGGCGTGAAGGCTTCCGGGCTTGTCGGCTGCTCGCTTTCGCAAAGAGAATTCTCACAAAGAGTTCGAAAGCCCTGCAGAATAGATTCATGAAGGGCTTGTCCAAGGCCCAGTAGGGAGGATCCTGCAACAACTGTCATTTCGAAGTTTGGGGGCAACTACGAGTGGCTACTAACGATACCAAGCCAGGCACATCTGAAAGCAAACCCCGCTGTCCCTGCGCCTCCATCGGTGGAGGGCCCGGAAGAGGACAGGGCCTGGAGAAGTTCAGGCCAGTGTGCTACAGTAGGACTCTGGAAATCAAGCTTCGGAGAGGCTAAACCGAAAAACGTAGGGCAACGACTGTGTTTCAAAATGTCAGGCTGTTTAAGTGTATGTCAGAAAGGTCTTGAGAGGCCACTCGCCTGGCAGAGTACCAATGCGCGTTGATGCATGGAAAGCGTGAGGAGTAGGAGACTTCAAATAAGGGAAGCACGCCTTGCCTACCCGGAAAGGCAAGCCGCAAAAGAAACCAGTGATCTTGATCTTGATACTCTGCGCCATGCTGCCAAGGGGAGTGCATCAGACGCATTTTGGCCTCCACGTGCGTATCCTGACACCGGAACCCAACCACCAAACCACTTCCAGCACTTCGTGCAAGGTGCCGCGAGTCCCGTAGGTCGGCCATGGGAGGTGGGTCGACCATCAACCTGAGAGGACTCCCAGCGAGTCACTTCGCCTCTCAACACACCCCTCGACACCCCTCAACACACCCCCGACACCCCCTCAACAACTGCTCAACACCCCAAACCTACTGAGAATTGTGGCTGCGCGAGCTCATTGCTGCGATTCCTCGCTTGTCTACAAGATGGCATACTACAGTAGACATGTAACAGATCTGTTTCCCTAGGCAGGCCCGTCAGGGCTTGCATGGAGAGGCAAGATGACGTCCGTATCCATGTGGACAACCTTTATCGCGGGGTTTAGGAGATTCGGGCTCTAGGGTTGACAATGACAAGCTTGAAGCTAGGCCTGCTACCGCACTGCTACCCTGTTAGTTTGAAGAGCCTCCGGGACTCCGATTCTTCAGAGCCCGCAGTCATTGTCGACTAAGATCCCCCGAACCCGCGTGTGTGGACGCAAGCCGCAAGTCAGACCGACGCCGGCTCCATTGTCCTGGCCCAGCGCAGGCTCGTATCTGTGCGACCCCCTCCACATCATTAGCCGGGATCTTCAAGCTTCCTGAGGCGTGTCCATCCATCCCTGCCGTCGTCGCGTCTGCCGGGTCTGCACTCGAGCCCTGGGGTTGGCCGAGAGACGGCGAAGTTGCCAAGTATCTCCGTGGCATCCGCCGCAGCAAGCCATGCTGTAGCTGCTGTAGCTGCATTCGGCAGCTCGAGTCATTAAGCCCGTGCAGCCGCTGTGGCTTGCTGGTTGAGGAGCGAGATCACGTCTGGGCGTGGCAGCTGAGACCCCGGAGACGTCGCACAGTGGGGAGAGGTGCTGAGAGCCGCGAGACTGTTCTCACATTTGGAATCGGCCCATGAGTTGCTCTTCAACCGGCCCACAAGGGCCGCAGGACATCACCGAAACCGACATACTCGAATGCCAAACTCCGTCCCACCTTACCACTACTTATAACCTAACGCGCATAAGCCTGGAGCTTTCAAGTCCCGGGCCCCGTGGAGGTTTCACGTGTCAGGCGCCGTGGTACACGCGGCGGCACTGTCGAAACTTTTGCTCTGGCAGTACCTGAGGCGATTGCACATCACAAGCGAGCTCGCATTTGTGGCTTGGATCTTAACGGGCTCAGAGAACACTTCGGCATCAAGAGCATGGCGCACTCTAAGCTGCATTCATCGGGCATCCAAAATCTGGGACAGCTAAATCCGCTGTGCACAAAGAATTTCGTCAACCAGGCCTATGCGAACGCCATTCACAGGGAAGGCCGGTGCCGGCGCCTGCCCCTGCAAATGCCCAAGATGCAGTGCATTGCAGTGCGCACTTCCCCTCAAGACTTGCTCCCATCTCCGGAATCCTCAAAGCTCCTGCCTGTGCTGGTGGTGCGGGGATCAGCGGGGCTCGGATCACCGGAGGCGCTGGCGCGGTCGGGGCCATCCGAGCCACCGCAGGCTGAACCGATGGTGGCGGTGGTTTTGAAGTGGGCGAAATAGCGGGCCCTGCCTGCACCAAGATCGAAAAGGTGTTGAGATGTGAAGTCACGCTGGGGTGCAGAAGTGCGGCACCGAGCAAGAAATGAGAACTGACAGAGAAGCTTGCTCTCGTTAACATCCGCTCTTCGCAGGCTCTTGAAGCTTCTTGCACGGACTCCTGTCTTGCAATGCCAAAAAAGCGCAAACGCAGCCTTCGTGCTGGGCCGGATGATTGTCCGGCTGCGCGGTTGGGGAGGCTGCGGAGGCCTCCTCTCCGGCTCCTGGGGATTGATGGCTTGTGCGAGGGACTTTCGGTGAGGATGGCAGCATCTACAGATGACGCCGTTTTCCAAAACAACTTTGTCGAAGAGAGGCACCCGAAAGCCCTCCCCTCACATAAAGCCCATGGAAGGCGCGTGCGCCTCGAGGCGCAGTCGCTTTGGATCTGGCACTTGGGGAGGTGCCTGAGAACACGATTTACAGCTTCAGGCCTCAATTCTTTGAGAGGCTTTCAGATTTCGACTTCTTGCTTTAGAGGTGCGCTTGTGGACTCGAAGTCAGGATGTGCAGAATAGGAGAAGAAATTGTACAGCAAGCACCAAATCAGATGTCTCCATATTCTAAAGGAGACTCCAAGGCCTTGCATAATAGCCATCAAGACCAATCAAGACAGAAGGGCGGTAGCTCCCCCCCTCCATTGGCCAAGCTGCCATCGCACTTGAGCTGCGCTTCGGCGGGGCGTACCTTGTGCGTTTTTGGAACTGCTTGCGGAGGCAAAGGGCTCACTTTACCGCTACACGTCTTCCCGAGATTTTAGTCACCAGGTCGCTTCGAAGTGGCCACCGAAGTAGGCGGCATGGGCCTGGCACCACTGACAGAGCATTCAAGAGTCTCGAAGCAGTGACGGACCAGGCCTTGCGCAGAGCCTCCAGTACAGAACCCCAAGCCAGCCCCTCAACTGACAAACCCTCAACTCCAAACTTTTGGACACACTGCTCACCGGGGACCTCTTCTTCGGCATCTTCTTGGGTTTTGGTGGGCCCCTGTTCAGGATGGACAGGAACTGGCCTGGTCCGTGCGACTGCACTCGTTGTTGCACAAACCGCAGGTATGTGTCAAACGGCCATTGATGGGACGGATCGCTTCTACGCAAAGCCTGGCTGGTCCTCGTCGCTCGAGGAGGTGGTGTCATCACTCAGCTCACGCTTGACCTTGCTTGGAAGGTCGCACAAGTTCAGGCCTTTCGCCGGGCAATACAACATATTACATAGGCTTCCGAAACCCTGCGTAACACTGCTCTGAACCCCTGCGAAATGCTGAAAAAGACCCAACTGAACTGAACCTGGGCTACAATGAAACCTTCTAAACCCTCTTCACCGAGAGCAAAAGCAGAGACAGGGCCCTGACAGCTGGGAGGCTCGTCGCTGAGGTGCTCTGGGAAGCGACTGAGCACATTCAATGAACAGTCTTGAAAGGTTCGCTGCTGGTCGGCACGAACTGACACTAGCAGCAGTAAAGCCGTGGCTAACAACAAAGCTGACTGTAAGGCCCTGGCGACTTGGGGCAGGCTCAGGCTCACAGTCCTCATCTGCCCAGTGCGCCCAGCGATCTGGCAGAGGCTGGAAAGGCAGGAAAGCGAGAACAGTTGGCTGATGCTGGATGCGAAATCTTCTCGACGGCAGCTGTCTGAACAAATTGTAATCACTGTAAACATGGCAATCATTGAAAACACCGCAATCATTGTAAACACTGCAATCATTGCAATCATTGCAGTCATTGTAATCATTGTAATCATGCTGAAGGCTGGCCCGTCTTCCATTGGGAGACAAACGGGTGCTCGTCACTGCCTCAGTATCTAGAAGAACGCCCCAACGAATGCAGCAAACATCACGGGTTTTGGGGATGCCTCGTACTTGCAACCGTACCTTGCGACCACGTTGAACTTCCGTAGTGCTTCCATTGAACCAACCACAACTCCCCAACCAACTCCAACTGTCAACCTGTCAGCAAGAGGAAGCAGAAAGGTCGCGAAAGTTCTGTGACCCATGAAACGTTCTTAAAACCTTGGCAAGCACGCGTTGGGCAAGAGAAGGAGAAAGAGAAATGGAGAAATAGAGAGAGAGGGAGAAAGAGAGAGCAGGAGGGAGACTGAGTGGGGGTGACACGGGCGTGGGCCATTCTCTTGTATTGTCGCGGCGCCTGCAACTACACGAAAGATGGCACATGCTCATTTTAGACTCAGAGGACTCATATGCAGTGTCCCTGTCACGACTGGTCTTTTTCATGAACTGTTCGAAGGCCACCTATCCGATCACACTTGCTTTGGCCCGAACTCGTAAACGACGACTGGCTGCGGGACGTGAGGGTTTGACATGTTTGTTCACTCGTGAACCTTGCTGCCGATGTGTTTGAAGGGCAATGAGGGCTTCACGATTTCGATTTGTTCACCACGATGTTGCTTTCGGCCTCTACAATGTGCAAAGTGGCGTGCTGACTAGAGACACTGCCACGTACGCCAACATGACACGACTGTTAAAGCATTTTTGATGGGGCGGTAAAACAACCTGAAGGTATGGAAGCTGCTGAAGATCATGGCAATCACCATGTCCAAGTTGTGCGGTCGTCTTCTTGCTTTGTGTCATTGGTATCAGGTCCTCGCCACCGAGGACCTGATACCTGTTATGAGTCTCCTGTTCCTGGCCTTCCACTTATGGGTTGCACAAAGTTTGTGTCCCTTTCACTTCGTTCGTCACTATAGGTCAGACACCTAAGGTTGGCCGCACATGCTACGTGTGTGGAACATGTGGATCATGTTGCAATATTTGCTTGCATCAGTTTGGCAAGTTGTTGTCACCAGCTCGTATACAGTCTGGTGCTTCTGTTAGTGTGCGTTGCACGAAAGGCGGCGATGCCTAAATAACCCGACCTACTGCTTCATGTGCCTTCGTCCTCCGACCTCTGGTCATTCGGAACTGCGTTCGCCACACTGCCACTGTGCGGAAGTGCCAAAACCGTGTGGGATATGCGGCTAGGTCGGGTTTTCTGAACTGTAGCCATGAACTTTGACATGCCGACTGACACGAGTAGTAAAGGGGAGAGCGAGGGACGGGTGGAGGTGCAACAGCCGAGAGCCGCTCCTTCTGGAGGCGGACCTGGTGGGGGCCGCGGCGCAAACGGCGGCGACCGTGCTCCCGTCGAAGACCAGGGCGGAGACCAGGAAGACCAGGGCGGCAAAGACCTTGTCTCCTGGGTCAGGTTTGGGAAGATTTGACTTAGACACTCAGGGTCCAAGGCTCCAAGGGTGTGAAGTCCAAGGTATCCAACGTCGGTCCAGCACTTCCTGGCCTTTATACACGAGTACTTGAACCCTAAACCTACAACCCTGTGCCTTCCATTCTTCTTTGCAAACTCGGGGTTCGACGGTTCTGGGTCGGCCTGCCACCGTGGCACATCTGCAAAGAAAGGGGGTGTCTGACTGGCATGACCCGTTCTGAACCAAGCAGTGAATCAAATCAACAAGCTATCAGGCTCGAGGCTTGAAAACTGTTTGAAGATTCGGCCCTAGATATACCGGGATTGAACCGATGAGCTTTTCGGTGGTTCTCCTACACTCAGCCAGCTAAGCGTCACCGCATGCACTCAGCGGGAAGCCGCAGAAGTATTGCCGATCAGGTTCATGGCGATTCAGAACAATGACACAGAATCGCAGGAATCTTTGGGTTCGGGCTGTACGACACCAGGGACTGAACCACTGCCACCTTATCGCCGCACCTCTATGTCCTTTATTCCGACGCCAGCTGTTCCACGAGTCCGCGCCAACCATTGGAAACCTCAGATGGGTTTGGATCTGCTTGGATCTGCTTGGACCCTTTGGCTTTTGGAAGGGACATGACCTGTCTTCGTATACATATATATATATATATATACAATATAATATAGATATACATATCTATGTATGTGATTTCAGTAGGGAAATTCGCCTCGGCTTCCTGATCCGGCATCCTTCCCAACCCTTCGCACAAAATTTTGCGGCGGACGCCCCCCCCCCCCCCCCCCCCACCCTCCCCACCCCTCCCCGCACCCCTCCCCGCACCCCTCCCCCCACCCCTCCCCCCACCCCTCCCAGCCCCCCCCCCCACACCCTACAACCCCCCCACCTGGCCCGTTCCTGTCCTGAGGCGGCGCGCGCAAGCGTTCACAACTAAAAGCACGAGTACGTCCGACGCAACGCGCACAGTGGCGAGCATCTCGGAAACCGCAACTATACCCCCCAGCAGCGATCCTGAACAAAACCCAAGTCCATCCGTTGAGCTTAGACTCGGGTTCAGCACTTGATGTGGAGGTCAGCAGCCGGCACAAACTTCTTGCGCTACCACCCTACTCAGACACACGCCCTTCCCTAACGAAGGAAGGGACTACCTAGAATTTCCTCAATGCTTGTGATGTTTTGCATTGCCGTAGCACGACCATGACATGGATGACAACTGAAGATGTGCCGCACAACATTTTCTTCGGAGGGTGCAGCATCTGCAGCGGGGCGGGCGGCAAAGGTCACCCTTTCTGACCTTTTACCCTGTCGCAGGGGCGGCGGCAAAGCAATTGCAGAAATTGGGCCATGCAGCACATGATGGCCTGTCTGGGCAAAAAGAATGATGGACTTATGGCTGTGCTCTCCACGGTGAACGTGGACACATGCCCAAGCAAGAGACCTCCAAGCAATACTGCCGTGCCACCTACACGTGAAGGGGTTACCGAGACAGGACTGGTAATGGTAATACGCCAATCGCCAGCTCGAAGCATGCCCTTCATTTGAACACGGACAAGGCGACTAGATCACGATTCAGTTTAGAAGTTCGGGAGTTTAATGTTCAGTTGCATTGTTGGAGCCTCAAGCCTGGTAAAACTTGTGAGCCGCTGAACACCTCTGAGCGCAAGCTTCGACTTCTCTGCATCTCTGCATGTTTTGGAGGAGTTCTCTGTTCTGGCAGATGTCAATTCAGCCGCTACAATAAACATCTCATAACACTTGCAGCCTGCAGCGCAACAATCACTTCTGAACACCTGACGGGGAATACGCGAGGATAAAATGGTTTCGCGCCGGTTTTTCTGCGAGCTTCAAGACACTCCGTCGTACTCTGAGCGACAGAGCCCCCTACAGGACAGGCGCCAGGTAGGTAAGCTTAAAAGCTCCTGCCTGTACACAATGAGGTTGAGCAGGAAATGCACGACCAGCACAAACAAGAAGGCGGCCAGCAGTGCCGGGTGCTGTGTCACAACAAAGCTTTCCAGCATTCCGGTCATCAGCCCATACATGGTACATAAGCTCATATTCAACATGAAGCCCGCACTCAAGGCGAGGATTCCGCGCCAGAGTCCAGGGTTGGTTCTCACAACTATACACTTCAAAAGCTGGAGAAAACACGGAGGGCTCAAAGGAAAGTTCAAAAGGAACGCCAGGAAGGCTGTCCCAAAACTCATTGCGAAGTATTGCCCATCTGACGTGAAACCTGCCTTGCTGCGGGATGGCCTGCCAACCCATGTCTGCGCAGCAAAATCCAGAAAGGCGGGAAAGAAGGTCAGCAGGCAAATGCTCCATGGTAATTGTGTCTCAGTGCCCAGATCTTCAGTGACTTCAGCACGGAGTGGATGCCGTACAAAGTTATTGAACGCATCTAGACTTTCTTCGTGGCCAAAGTACGTAGTGACGGAACGTATGGCAGGCCTGGTCTCATAGGGCACCGTTGTTGAGGTTGCCTCTACAACTTCACCCAGCAAAGCCGAGTCAAGATCCACTGCAAGCACTGGGTCATCAATTCCATCAAAGAGCTCCGCGACTTTCGTTTCGATGACGTCACGGTCCTGCTCCACAGAACATGACGCGCCTCTGATGTCGAATGTCCTAACATGACAAAGGGCTCGCTGATAAACTGAGATCTTGAGGTTGGGCAATCATGTACTTACTAGCTAACACAAAGCAATACGCATGTTGTCA